GCTATTGTAGGATGAGTTAGTTTTCTTTTTTTTTTTTTATTGAGTAAGAGTCTCACTCTGTCACACAGGTTGGAGTGCAGTGGCATGCTGCTCATGGCCACCGCTGCCTCAACCTGTTGGGTTCAGGCGATCCTTCTGCCTCAGTCTTCCCAGTAGCTGGAACTACAGGCGTGTGCTGTCACGCCTGGCTGATTTTATTTATTGTAGAGACAAGGTCTCACCAAGTTGCCCAGGCTGGTCTCGAACTCCTGAGCTCAGGTAATCCTCTCACCTCCGCCTCCCAAAGTGCTGGGATTACAGGCTTGAGCCACTGTGCCTGGCTTGATGAGTTTTCAATAAAACTTTATTTACAAAACCAGGCAGGAGGCTGCATTTAGCCTACAGGTGATAGAGTTTGCCAACCCAGTTCTAGACAATAGTTATGGTAACTTTGATCATCTAAGTATAATGAAGAACTTGTGTTTTTTCTCAAAATTATCTTTATATGTTTGCTCTCTAAGAAAACAATATCACACAGAGGAACATAAGTAGGTCATGACAACAATGAATTCTATTTGTAGAATTTTGTTTTTTGAAGGTTAAGCAGCAATTAGGATATTTTCTTCCTTTCTCTATACCAGTAAGGTCAAAGATTTGAGTCAAAAGGCCAAGAGTTTTAATCCTGGCCCCAATCCCATGTCAACAATGTTACCCTGGACTTTATCACAACCTCTCAATTTTAATTACAGAATGAGGAAATCTTCTTAGAAATGGTTAAATACAAGTAGAGTGAAAGCACATTCAGAAATTCTAAATCATGATATTATTACTACTACCGTTGATGATCACCATAAAAATGATAGCAGTGAACTTTTGTGTCAGGTATTGTAATAACTAATTTAAACCTTACAATAACTTTGCAATGTAGACCTGTCTACTTTACTGCAGATAGGGATGCTGAAACACAAAAAGGTTTCAAGGTTACATACGTAACCAATGGCAGGGTGGGACTTGAATTCAGGATGTCTGACTCAAAAGCCAAAAGAAATCACTATATTCTGTTGTCTCTATCAAAGTGAAGATGAAAATATCATTATTATTTTTGTATATTATTATATAAATATACAAAAAAATTCAGAAATCTAAAAGGACAGGCTTTACCAAGATGACCTTCTTTTTACATTCAGGTAAAACTTTCTCACAGAGACCATGTTAGTTTTATAACACTTCTTTAAACAATATAATTTAAATAAAATTTGTAAAATAAAAACATTTATAAATAAAACTTAGATAACAAAAATAAAAGACTATATTAAGGTCTCACAATGTTTTTTAATACTAGCATTTAACTCTTATAATGTATCTAAACTGTCTCTCAAAATGCAGTATTAAATGCTATATTAAAATTCCACAGTTATCTGGATTTTAGGATTAACTGTAGGGGGAAATGAAACCTTTAGCAACTGGTATTATTTTAATATCTTGTCTCCAGGCAGGTTACTAAACTTTTCAGAAATTAGATTCTCACCATAAAAATTTGGAAAGAATTTGAGAATTTTTGTTCTTCTTTAGTTGAAGAACTATCTTTTCTTTTACTTGCTATACTTTCTAACCAGTAGTTCCCACATCTGGTAGTGTACAGAATAGGATACCAGGAACTTTAAATATGAAGCACAGTTGATCCTTGAACAACATGAGTTTGAGCTGTGCTGGTCCACTTAAAAACAGATATTCTTCTGCCTCTGTCATCCATGACACAACAAAACTAATTGCTCCTCTTTTTTTTCCCTCCTCAGCCTACTCAGCACGGACAATGAGGATGAAGATCTTTACGAGTGATCCACTTCCACTTAATAGTAAATATATTTTTTCTTCCTTCTGATTTTCTTCATAACATTTTCTTTTCTCTTGCTTACTTTGGGAAAACAGTACATAATACATCTAACACACAAACTATGTGTTGACTGTGTATGTTATTAGTAAGGCTTCCAGTCAACAGTAGGCTATTAGTAAAGTACTGGGGCATGTAAAAAAAAATCATATGCGAATTTTTGACTGTGTGTGTGCACGTGTGCGTGCACTCTGGGGGAGCGGGGGTGTCTGCAAACCTAACATCTGTGTCATTTAAGGGTCAAATACGTTCCCCGCCTCCATCTCAGATGAACTGAGAGCAGGCCCAAGAACGTATTTTTAAAAGCTTCCATATAACTGGTGCTACCTATGACATATTTAAGGTTGCTAGAAGAAGTAAAACATCCCCATATATTACGAAGATAGTAATTTTTTGGGGGGGAGCCTCTTTACCTTTTTAGTTAAGGTTACAGATGCCAAGTGTTGAGGATGTCTAAATGAAAAGTAGGTATTAAAAATAACTTTCAGTCGGGCTCGGTGGCTCAGCCTGTAATCCCGTGCCTTTGGGAGGCTGAGGTGAGTGGATTGTCTGAGCCCGCGGATTCGAGACCCGCCTGGGCAGCGAGACCTCATCTCTACAGTAAATAAAAAAATCAGCTGGGCATGGTAGCGCATGCCTGTAATTCCGGCTATGCGGACGGCTGAGGTGGAAGGATCACCGGAGCCAGCAGGTAGAGGCTGCAGTGGCCGACAGCGGCCACTGCACTCCAGTCTGGGTGACAGAATTAGACTCCAACTCAAAAAAACAAAACAAAACAAAAAAAAACTTTCTAAGATTTCTAGCATTTGCTTACAATCAAAATAAATGGCCAAAATTTTGAGGTATTAATATTTTATTTAAAGGAAAATAATGTACAAATCACTTGATATAAGCATGGTTTCTAGTTGAGAAAGACATGTTAAAATTATAGCTGTGCCCATGAATCATCAAAGATGTTAGTTATGTTTCTGTGTATATGTTGGGGCAGCAGTCCTTGTCCTGACAATATCTATGCTGTGTCACGGAGATTTTTAGAACTAGTAAATTAATCTGTAGCAGTTAAAATTAACCATCAGTTACAAGATAATAAGTAAATTTTGCCATGTGACAATATTTCTTTAAAAAATAATTACAACCTTAAAATAAAGACTATACTTGATATAATTTATAAATTTAAGTTTGAAATTTAGAAATAATATACTTCATAAATATGTAAAAACTCCAAAAGGCACAGTAATAGCAACCATAGCATAGTTTTGATAAGTTATCCTCCTCTCTTACTAGTTTCCATTTTAGAAGAAATTCAAACAAATACCTTTGTGAATATAGTTTTAACAACTGTGTCACTATAGTTTTTGACAAACTTTTGAAAAAGCTCTCTCCTGGTGAGGTTACTCCTCCTCTCTCCTACTGCCTCTTTACCTTTCAAAAGGAATGTGCTCCCTATGGTCCAGTTCTTGGCCTTCTTGCCACATTGTTTCTCTTACCTCTTTCAGTGACTTTTATGGCTTCAGCTAACATCTCTAAGCAGGCTAAGTTCCAAATCAACACCACTGATCCTAAATCGTTTCATCAACTCTGGACCCAAATTCATTTTTCTTCTTGCCGGCTTCAGTGAGGTATAATTGACAAATAAACATCATATATGTTTAAGGTATGCAACAATGATGTTCTGATATACATATATCATTGTGAAATGATGACTACAATCAAGCTAATGAATATATCCATCACCTCTTACCTTTGTGTATGTGTGTGTGTAATATTATTAAGATTTACTCTCTCAGCAAATTTCAAGCATATGCTATTATCAACTATAGTCACCACACTGTACACCAGGTCACCAGAACTCATTCATCTTATAATTGAAACTTTATATCCCTTGACCAACAGCTCCCCACCTCCTTTTCCCTCCCCAGTCCTGGTAACTACTATTCTACTGTCTGTTCATATGAGCTCAACATATTTTAGATTCCACAAGTCAGTATTTGATTTTCTGTGTCTAGTTTATTTCACTTAGCATAATGTCTCCAAAGTCATCCATGTTGTTGCAAATCATGATTTCTTTCTTTTTAAAGGCTGAATAATATTCCATATTATATATACACATACACACACTACATTTTACACACACACACACACACACACACACACACACACACACACACACACTTCTTTATTCATTCATCCACTGTTGGACACCTAGGTTTAGTTCACGTCTTGCCTATTGTGAATAATGCTGCAACAAACATGAGAGTCCAGATGGTGACTATAGTCGCACTGGATATATACCCAGAAGTGGGACTGCTGGATCATGTGGTAGTTCTATTTTTAATTTTCTGAGGAACATCTACATTGTTTTCCATGACTATATCAATCTATATTTCCATTAATAATGTTTAAGGGTTCCCTTTTCTCCTAAACTTCAGCTCTGGACTCACAGTTTTAATGTTCCTCCAGATCTCCATATGGATTATAGTTAACAGAGTCTTAGGAATCTCCAGAAATTGTATGCAAATTGCTGCATGTATGTGCACATGTGCATTTTTCTGGAGAGAAGGGTCAGAATTTTCTTTAGATTCCCAAATGTCTATGTGACCTCAAAGACAAGATAAACTCAGGTAGGTCACATACTTCTAGCATACCAGACCCTTTGGCATAAATACCAGTCTGTGTATTTTTAAATGGAAAAACAAAGTCCAGGTTAATATGATTATTAAAGGACTTCTAATATAGTGAACTTTTGCAAATACCAAATTCCTGAAGCTTGCCAGCATCTTCTAATGTGACAGGTTAGCAAATCATGGCGGTGGGTCAACCATTTTCATAAAAAAAGTTTTAAGGGAACACAGCATGACCATTCACCTACATATTACCTATGGCTGCTTCTGCAGTTGAGTAGTGACAGACATTGTATGGTCTGCATGACTACATTATTTACTACTATCTGGCCCTTTAAGAAAAAGTGTGTCCTCTATTATTCTAGATAAAAAATATCTAAATTGGCAAAGAAAAACAGACCTAATCTTGAATAATCAAAAGAAAATCTACCTTCCAATCTTATTTGTAATTCCAGATACATGTATCGAGCAGATATACCCATTTCATTCTAAGCAATGAGTGCTATTACCTGCCATTGCTAGGCTGCTGTGGAGAGTGTCTGGAATGATCAGAAGGCTCTGAACGCTGGTCAGGAGATCGCGACCGGCTGCGGCGAGGAGGCCTGTCATGTGACCGACCAGAATGATCTGATGCTAGTGACTGAATTTCTGAAATGTCTGTTAAATAAATGGGTGCTATTTATTTTCTCATAAAATGATTACAATCAAGTATAAGATATTCCAATAAGAATAATGGAGATAAGCTAATAAGTAAGCATTAATTTCATCAGTCAGCGATCAAATCAACAGTGATAAGTTGCCTATAAAAAATATATATGCATTTGTAACTTTTAAAAGTGTCTGGCTTGTAGAATATTATTTCACTCAAAGATGTTTACTCTTCCTAGTACTTTAAGAAATAGGTCGCTTAGAGAAAACCTTCAAACAGAATTGTACTCACCATCTCTCTCTGAGGCATTAGCAGAGTGAATACTGTCAGAAAGATCAGGGACATTCAATAGGGTAGCCCGTTCATCTCTTTGAACTACCATTTTTAACTTGCCTTTAGACCTTTCTATCAACGTCTTTGCATCTGTCAATGACATATTTTCTGTCACAGTACCATTTATCTGCAACAGAAAAAAAGCTATAGGTTCAAAGTAAATGACAAAATACAAATGTTAGCTTAATCTGTTATAAACAGAAATACCTAAACTACTCCATGGTTTGCTATAAGAAGCAAAATATTCTTTACATTTTTCTAAATAATCAAAATATTCCACCTTCCTGAAATGATAAAATCTTTATTACACTGTTGCTGTCAAAACAAGCAAACCCAAATTAGCATACGCTTAACCCCTCCCCCAAAGTCTGTCACTTCCTATTACCACTTCCTATTACTTATAAGCAAACTAATAAATAAGCATTTCAGTAGTATCTGGAGCAATTATCAAAATGTTTTACTGTGTAAAAACAGACACATCTACCTACAAAGTAGCTCCCACTGGTGAATGACTACATTTGTAGCAATTAATTCTCTCAGGATGACTCCATAATACCTAAAGTATCAGTGTTGACACATAATGCATAAGGGCAATTTATATCCTTTTCCCCTCAAACACTGATTTTTAATTCTCTTTGGCAAAACTGCTTCAAACAAGAGCAGAGGCTATCTGGTCACTTCAGAACCTGTTTTCTATTTCAGTCCATTAAATTTAAGAATATGACTATACCTTTAATACAACATCACCTTCTTGAATATTGCCATCTCTTGCTGCCAAACTATCTTGTGAAATTTCCTTCACAAATATATGGCTGGCCAATCGAAGACCATATTCTGAAATAATATATTTAAATGTCTTTAGTGTAACATACTAAGATGCTTAAATAGAGTTTAAAATATAAAACTAATAATCACCGTATAATGAAAATTTTTAAGTACAACCAATAACAGGTAATTATTCTTGGCCATCCTGTAAATAAGACATTCCTTGCAATTAGCAAACAAGTTTGTCAACATGAAAGCAAAGTGAAAGTGCAGAGTTCAAACAAAAGACTGACACACTGTGCTCCCATTCTACTTAAAAAAAGAAGAAGAAAAAAACCCTGAAGAGAACACCATTTCTTTCTGTCCACATGAGACACTGGCTTCTTAGAACAGTTAAGGAATACAATTCTCTCTCTCTCTCTCTCTCTCTCTATTTTTTGAGATAGGGTCTTGTTACGTTGACCAGGCTGGACTCAAGTGATGCTCCCACCTTACCGGTACTCTCGAGTAGCTGTGACTAACGACAGGAATAGGTCACTGAGCCAAGAATATAATTCTAAAAAGAAAATTGCAGCCAGGCTTGGTGGCTCAGCGTGTAATCCCAGCACTTTGGGAGGCTGAGGCAAGTGGACTGCCTGAGCTCGTAGGTTCAAGACAAGCCCGGGCAACATGGAGAGACCTCATCTCTACCATAAATCAAAAATTAGTCAAGTGTGGTAGCATGCGCCAGTAGTTCAAGCTACTTGGAAGGATTGCTGGGGTCCAGCAGGTCGATGCTGCAGTGTGCCACTGCACTCAGCCTGGCTCGACAGAACAAGACTCTAACACACAAAAAAGGAAAGAAAATTGCTTGAAACTCGAAATAATCTTGGAAAGGTTGATAATTTTAATGATGGCTGTTAGGAATATACTTCTTATATATTATTTTATTTATATATTAGTCATTCATTCTAAATACTTCCTTGGATATACAACTATGTGCCAGGCACTAAATAAAGTAGCAAATGAGAGACAGTTTCTATATTCTAGCTACTTACATAGTAGAGAAAAAGATGCTATCATGGCAATTACAAATGTGATGAAAAGTTCCGAAAGCAGAAATGTAAGGTTCTGCGTCTTGTAGGGGATCAGAGATTTCCCAGAGGAAGAAATACTAACGCTAAAACTTTACCTAAGAAACACTGAAACTAAATCAGAAGGGTATGTTTGTGTGGGTGGGGGTGCAAGAATTAGGTGTTGATGTAAAACACCTGGCAGGGCTGATATATCTCAAGTCTAGCATAGCTGAGACTGAGAAGAGATAGGCAAAAGAGTAAGACAGAGAAACATCACTGAGGATTCTCTATGTGAAGGAATCTGCAGAATCAACTGAATGGGATCCAGAGGTTAAATGAGCTTAGGAGATGATGGTGGCTTGGAAAAGGGTAGAGGCAGTGGAGAAAGACAGAAGTTGAATGGATAAGAGTGGTATTTTGGAAGTGAGGACATTCATGTGCATGGAGAAAAAAGAGATGTCAAGGATAACTACCATGTTATCTGGGAGTGGCTTGAGAAACTGGATAGATAGGAGGAATATATTCAACTGGATACTACATAAGGAACATGAAGAAACACTTTAAAAAGCAGATGTGTTTCATCTGAGATGTGTTGAGTGTCAGGGATCTATAGAGAACATATAGCAAATAAGCCTAACCGTCAATTAGAACATGAGAGTATACAGATCTGGGCTGGACAAGAAATTTTGCCATCAACAGCAGCAACATGAGGAAAGGGGAGTAAGAAAGACTGCCTAAAGAAATTACGTTAAGTGGAAAAAGAGATTCTAGGACAGAAGCCTATAGAACATCACAGGGTAGAATGAGGAGAATTAGTTAGCAACAATACAGAAAAAGAGGTAGGGGAAAAGTTCCAAAGGATATATTATGACCAAAAGAAGATATTTTTAAAAATAGGGGAATTTCAAAAAAGACATTTTAAAAACTATGCAATGGTACTAAAAGGGCGAGGAAGATAAAGACTAAAAAGCTTGTACTGGATTTAGTGTGAACAGTTTTGGGGGTATGAGGAAACATATCAGCCCAAAGAGGTTTGAAGAGTAAATGCTGAAATGGAGTAGAAACAGTAAGTGTAGACAGTTTAGAGTGGCGCCAGTACCTAGAAGGAGACTTGCCAAGTGGTAAAGCAGATCACAGTGAACCTTTATAATATTCTTACTATAATACCTTTTTATCCAAATGATGCTGTCTACCCACAGAAAGAGGGAGCCATCATCAGATCAATTTTTTATCAAATCTGGTGAGATGTGGGGGAAAGCAGGTGAGTTTGTTTCAAAAACTTTTAAGAACTCTTGTGTTATGGAGAAATGTCCTCTAAGGCAGGGATTCCCAACTCCTGGGCCATGAACCAGGCTGCAGAGCAGGAGGACTTACTGGTATCCGAAGTGAGCAGAGCTCCACTTCCTGTCTGATAAGAAGGGGCATTAGATTCTCATAGGAGCGTGAACCCTATTGTGAACTGTGCATGTGAGGGATCTAAGTTGTGTGCTCTTTACGAGACTCTAATGTCTGATAACCCCAGGTCCACTTGTCTGTGGAAAAACTGTCTTCCATGAAACTGGTCCCGGATGCCAAAAACACAGGGGACTGCTGCTATAAGAGGTTCCTTTCTTTCAAACTTTCCATTTAATGAAACAGTTGGCCAAAACACATTGAATTTCAATTTGATTATGCTGCGACATTTCTTGTTAGCGTAATATGTATGTGGCTGTTCTCATCACAACAACAAATCCAAAATCCAACCAGTGGATAATTTACTTGAAGTGCTACCTGCTCTAAAAAAATAATTCAAGAAGAGAAAATGAACAATCCCTGAAGTCAGCCATAATAGGATTTGACTCACAGCAACAGAAAAACACGAAGACAACAAAGCAAAGATATGAAGACAAGGCAATTGTACTTCTAATAAAAATTAATCTTACAATTTCCATGTGGAAATAGTACCGAAAGAATCTGTCTGCAGGGAATACCTTCATTTTTCCGGGATTTCACCAACGTAACTTTGGTTGGTTTAGCGGGCTGACTGGAGGCCACTGATCGCCTGTCTGATCGTGGAGACAAGCTCCTCTCTCTACTTGCACTTCTATCTCTTGCCCAGTTCTTGTCACTTCTTCTGTTAACCAGACCACCACGACTACTTCTTGGATCATGAACTTCCTCATCATAACTATCTTCTTCATTATCAGATACTGGCTCAGGATCAGGACGACTTACTGGTATCTGAACTTTCTTCTTCCTTCGGATGGTCTGCAAATAAATAAAGATTACAAAATGAGTTGGTTGATTTTCATATATGTACTTTTAGTTCCTAAGAGAAGGTAACATCATATTCTTCTTGTCCCCTACAAACTTAAATATGAATTGGAGACATAATACACAAATAACTGCAACAAATACACTTGTTGGAAGGAATATACTTCCTTAATGGCTGTGTTTTTTGCTCTACTGATAAATAGATCTGGTTAAGCACCAAGTTAGGAATAGTGGGCCTAGTAACGTTTTTATTTACTTCATGCAGAAAGATCTTTCAGCTGTAATAATCACAAGCTTACAGAGAAACTAACAATTGTTGGTGACCTGAATAAAGAATGGGCACCGTATTCTGTCATCAAATGCATTCTAGGTGCTACCAAAACCACAGCAAACTTGCAAGCTCAATTTGATTCTTGAAAAGTTTTAGAATGCATCAGTATCAAGGCCCACAAATGCCCTGTCATATGGCTAAGAGATAAATGTCTAAGAGACACTAATTCAACATTCAATTAGTATGTTGAAGCTAATTAACTCAGTTATAGCAACATAAACTGTCTTCAGTCTCTATCTCTCCAATTTGCAACATCTGATCTAGGTGCACATTCTTTCTTCTGGCATTCTTTTCTCAATGACTTAAGTTACTGGCTGTTTTTCTTGTCCACTTCCTTCCTTCACTCTCGTTAAGTTTAAGATTTATATGCATTACCTTCTCATTGAGTGGCCTTGTAATCCCCTGGACTGTACCTTGCTTCCCCCCATTGCTATGTACTTGATCTCATCAGAGTTCTGCAAGATATTCTTGAATAACACTCTTTGTCTTTTACTTCTTAGACTTTAATCTACTGAAATATTTCACTATCAATTTTATTTCTGATGCTTCCACTTTCTCCTGCTCACTCAGTCTATCAATTCCCTCCTGGTTTCACTTGCCTTCCTCCCAAGTTTGTAAGAGACATTATGTTGCTGTATTTAAATGACTTTCTCTTGACAAACTCCCATATCTTCATTCCACATTTTGTGAATTAGGTCCTCTATAAATGTATTTTACTTGACAGAATTCTTGCACTTGTTCAGCAATTCTTTCATCTAAATCTTGTTGCCTCTTTATGGAGTTTGCTAACATAGGTATTCCAAAATGATTCTTCAAGATGCCAATCACTCAGCCTGCTTTATGGGTATCAATGTCACTTCACTCCCCCTCCACTCCTAAGTTTTTTTAGTATCTCATGTATTCGGTCCTCCTTCCTTCTGGCTTCAAAGACCAAGTTGATCCTCTTCCTGTATGAACAAAACACTTACACATTAGCTCTCATTCCAACCTTACCCACTGGCAAGACCTCTCTTCATCAATTACCATCCTCTAAGTTACCTTCAACTTTAATCTATTTACCTTGAGTCTGTCTTGTCTACTAATGTCCCAACTAAACTTCAATTCCAGTTCTCATTTATCTCTTCTCTCTGTGGCTAAACTTATTCAAAGGGTTGCCCTATACTTAACACTGCTGCTTCCTACTACTACCAACAGTAATGAGAGAGGGCCTTAATGAGAGAGGGGTTTTCTGAAGCTGAAGGAAGAGAAGAAACAGAGATCAGCATGTGAAAAGGACAGCCAGTACTTTATTATTAATAGAGAAAGGAATGCTGCCTTTCCATTTTCAGGGAACCCTTACTGTTGAGGTTCTTATCAAGCAAGTTACTGCATAGCATTCCTAACTGACTGCCTGCTTTTACATCTCACCTCTACTTCAATCTCCAACATATTGTACTGGAAGCAATATTTGGTATTAGTACTTTAATCTTCAGTTCCTCCCTAATAATAAACAAAAATAAAGTTACCAGCTGGGCACTCAAGGTTCTCCCTGTCATTCCAGTAAGAAAGAATTCTACTGTACTGAACTACTGATTTCAGATAACATTCTTATGACATGCTCATGACATGGTTATGAGTATATGTATCCATCTAGCTTACTAAGATTCAAGTTCGGGAAGTTCTTTACCATGTATTTAATTGTACATATAACACAATATTTGCACTCAGTAGGTGCTTAACTTATTGAAAAATATCCAATCTTATTATGATTCTGAACTTACATTATGAGTTAATTATTTAGTAGGTTTGACAACTATGCTTAATTTTAACACTACCAAAAATGTGGAACAGAAATTTTTAGGATAAAACTGACTACTTCAAAGGAGTTTACGAAATTAAAGATTCAAATATAAAGTTTAAAAAATCACATTAAGTACTAGAATAAAATATAGCATAGAGGCTTTTATAATTCTAGCGAGGTAAAGGCTTTTGGCAAGGCAGAATCAATAAAGTAGAAGTCGGACAGACATGACAACATAAAAATTAAAACATTTCCATGTTGAAACAAAATGATGTAAAAAACAAAAAACAGGCCTGTAACCTAGCACTTTGGGAGGCTGGGTAGGAGGACTGCTTGAGCCCAGGAATTTGAGACCTGTCTGGGTTAGTTAACATAGCAAGGCTTCATCTCTACAAAAAATTCTAAAAAATATTTAGCTGAGCCGGGCTCGGTGGCTCAGCCTGTAATCCTGTGCCTTTGGGAGGCTGAGGTGAGTGGATTGTCTGAGTCCATGGGCTCGAGACCCCGCCTGGGCAGCGAGACCTCATCTCTACAATAAATCAAAAAATCAGCCAGGCGTGGTAGCACATGCCTGTAATTCCAGCTACTTGGAAGGCTGAGGCAGAAGGATCGCCGGAGCCCAGCAGGTCGAGGCTGCGGTGGCCGGGAGCGGCCACTGCACTCCAGTCTGGGCGAGAGTGAGACTCCAACTCAAAAAAAAAAAAATTTAACTGAGTGTCGTGGTATGTTCCTATATTCCCAGTTACTAAGGAGGCTGAGGCAGAGAGACTGCCTGAGCCCAGAAAGTCAAGGTTGCAGTGAGCTGTGATTGTGCTACTGCACTCCAGCCTGACAGAGTGAGACCTTGACTCAAAACAAAACAAAATCTTAAGTAACTTACAAACACAAAAGCAAAGAGGAAAACAATATAAGTACTATATATGACAAAAGGCTAATAATCCATGTCCCCCACCACCATACAAATGCAAGGGATATGAACAGGCAAAATAAAAGAAACATAAATGGGTAGTAAACACTCTGTGAGAAGTTCAAACCTACTTCTGGCTTAAAATATTTCATCTGAAATACATTTAGATTATCAGTTTCACAAAGATTTAAAAAGTGATGATGAAAAATAAATTCTCAACATCCTACTGATTTTCTAATGGCAAACTGGCAATATATATATCAAAATCATTCATGTCCTTTGACTCTGAAAAGTCAATGCTAGAAAATTATTATTCTTTGGGTTGGAGTCTTACTCTGTCACCCAAGCTGGAGTACAGTGGCGTGCTCACAGCCACAGCAGCCTAGACCTGTTGGGCTCAGGCAATCCTTCTGCCTTAGCCTTTCAAGAATCTGGAACCACAGGTGCGTGCCACTATGCCTGGCTAATTTTTTTTTTAAAATTTATTGTAGAGACGATGTCTTGACAAGTTGCCCAGGCAGGTCTCAAACTCTTCTCTCACCTTTGCCTCCCAAAGTGCTGGGATTATAGGTGTGAACCATGTACCCAGTCCCTAGAAAATTATTCTTAAAAAATATACATGTAGGTATCAACACGATGATTTTTTAAAAAATATCTGTGGATTGGACACTAAAATGCCCATTAATAAGTAGTTTCCATTAGTATATATGTATAATGAAATGCTGTGCAGTCATGTGGATACAAATAGAGCCATGTGCCACATAACATTTTAGTCAACAATGAACCAAATATATTAACAGTGGTTTCCTAAGATTATAATGGAGCTGAAAATTCCTACCACTGAGTGACCTTATAGGTTGTAACCTTAAGTGCATTACTCATGTATTTGTGGTGATGCTACTGTCTTCCAATTGTATAAAAGGGTAGCACACATGCATTATGTACAGTATGATATTTAATAATGATAATAAATGACTATGTGACTGGTTTATATGCTGTACTTTTTATCATCATTCTAGAACATACTCCTACTTACAAAAGAAAGGTAACTGTAAAACAGCCTCAGACAGGTCCTTCAGGAGGTATTATTCCAGAAGAAGGCATTGTTATCCTATCCTGATCCTGTGTAGGCCTAGGCTAATGTATGTGTAACTTAGTTTTTAACAAAAAAAAGTTTAAAAAGTAAAAAGGAATAATATTTTTAAGTAGAAAAATACTTATGCAATAAAAATATAAAGAAAGAAAATATCTTTGTATAGCTGTACAATGTGTTTGTGTTTTAAGGTAAGTGTTATTACAAAAGAATCAAAAAGTTGTTTAAATGTTCAAGTTAATAAAGTAAAAAACTTACAAAAAGATAAAGTTAATTTGTTAATGAAGAAAAATATAAATTTCATAATTTTACAAAGTATTAAACACGCAAAAAATATTTAAACTTTGAAAATAAATTTGGTGTAATCTAAGTGTACCATGTTTATAAACTCTACAATAGTATAACATCCTCGGGTTTCACATTCATTCACCACTCACACTCACTGACTCACCCAGAGAAACTTCCAGTCCTATTCATGGCCAGTGCCCTATGTGGGTATACCATTTCTTATCTTTTACAACATATTTTTACTGTACCTTTTCTATCTTTAGATATACTTACCACTGTTACAATCGCCTACAGTATTCAGTATAGTAATATGCTGTACATGTTAAGTAGCCTAGGAGCAACAGGCTATACCATAGAGCCTAGGTATGAAGTAGATTGTGCCATGTGTAGGTTTGTGTGAGTTCACTCTATGTTTGCACATGATGAAATCACCTAATGATGCATTTCTCAAAACATATGCCCAATGTTAAGTGACACATGATGACACTGAAGTGCTCACAGAGGTTAGTGCTAGGAGTGTTTCTGCCCCTTCATTTGCTTCATAATGCTTTTTTAGTGTGTTCAGAATTTTAGTAAAATTATACATGCTCATCATGTTATAAATACTAAATCTATTTCTACCTTCATCTGTTGTTAAACTAAATTAGGCATATTTATGGTAGTTATATCATCAAGGAATTCTAATATTTTAATTCAAAGGAAAAGAAAAAATTTACTGGGCATAATGTCCAAAGAGCTCTTAGTTCATGAAAAGACAGTTATGGCTGGGCTCGGTGGCTCAGCCTGTAATCCCAGCACTTTGAGAAGGCTGAGGTGAGTGAATTGCCTGAGCCCATGGGTTCAAGACCACCTGGGCAACTTGGTGAGACCTCATCTCTACAATAAATAAAAAATTAGCCAGGGGTGGTAACATGTGCCTGTAATTCCAGCTACTTGGAAGGCTAAGGCTGAAGGACCACCGGAGTCCAGCAGGTCAAGGCTGCAGTGGCCAGGAGCGTGCCACTGTACTCCAGTCTGGGCGACAGAGTGAGACTCCAACTCAAAAAAAAAAAAAAAAAGTTATATAAATGAACTACTACCATAATGCAAGAGCACAGGGGAGAAAACAGAGAGGAGTAGATTCGGGAGTTAGGAAGGAGTCAGTGTCATTCAGAACTGGGGAGAAAAATAACATATATAATGACCTCAAGGTTTTTGCTGTTCTGTTTATGGCTAAGGATGCGGGAAAAAAGGACATCTTACAATGAAAGGCACACTCTCAGATGCCAGGGTTTTATTCTACAATTCTTATGGTAGTGAAAGACAATGATCCAAGCTGGTCTACTGGGAAATGAACAAACTGCTTCTTGCTGATGAAAACATTCTTCTCCTAGCCCCCCTACAGCTTCTCTCTGCAGAGCAAAAAATACTTGCCCAAGCTTCCTGATTCTACCTTTCCAACTGATAAAGCTTTGAGCAGCTCCAAAGTCCTTCTTTCATGCTGGGCCAAAAATGTGCTATTTCAAATAAATTGCTGGTTTTGAATTTACTTATAAAAACAACTTTTTTGGGTGCATTATCTATGTGGGCTGTATGTACTAAATATTTTGCATGGAAAAACAAAACTGCTCAACATTACAGAGGAATGGAAGGTTTCAAAAGTTGGAGGCATGGGTGAAGTTCACCACCAACTACTGACGGAAGGTGCTCACCTTGGAATGCTTAGCAACACATCCAAAAGCACTGTGATTAATAATGATAATGGCTCAGGCCCAGCAACTAAAGCAAAAACTCCAAAGCTTATTTAACTTATAAAATCCAACAAAATTGTTCATTATAAGAATTTGAAATTTGTTTCTGTAAACACCATAATCTCATGCTATAAAAACTATCTAAAAATGGTAACAGCCACTAGGCAGTCTGTTTATTCACTGCAACTTAAAAACAACATGATCGTTATAAAAATAAGATTAAAACAAAGTTGTGAGAACATACAAAATAAAGGACATTTGTTATCTGGAACAGTGCCATAACCAAATATTGGGTCTACTGCAATAGGAGAAAAGTCTCCTGTCACTAGCAACGATGCCGGTGTGAATAAAAGCCATTCAGCAAGGCAGCTCACAAAGGGCAAGAACACTGTTCCCTGCAGTCTCAGGGAACACCTTTTCTGGCTCTCACTACAGCTCCCAGAGATCAAATTTCAGTACAGTCCTCCACTCATCATACCCCTATTCTTTATACTGAATTCACTGTGGTCCTGAGTGTCCACTGAAAGATAGAAAGGGTCTCAATGGATGAAGTAGGACAGACCACCTAGCCACCTAGTCTTTCCTCCTGCTCTGTACACTGAGCTAAGGCTTTGAGTGGTGGCTTCATCGGTCCTTTCAGAGGCTAGGTGGGAAAAAAGCAGAGAAGGAGCAAACTAGGTGAAGCAGCTAATGTACTCCTATGAGTGAATACCATTTTAAGTTAAGACTTTTACATTAAATCTATTCTGTGCCACATTTGCCAAGTTTTAACTGTAATTTGAGGTCCGTTATCATGAGTTAACTGAACTTCTTTTCTCTTACTTAAAAAAAAAAAAAAAAAAAAAGACTTCTCAGAGAAATATGAAATACAATAAAGATTCTAGCTAAGTGGGAAACCGCTGGGGGTGGGGGGAGGGGCACACTCATTAATAAGGGTACCTGATCTCAAACCAGGTAAAGTGGGGACCAAAGTGAGGCCCAAATTTTACCTACACAATGACCATTTATATACCTAACCCTGAATTGTTCCCCACAACTTTAAAAATAAATTAAAAAAAAAAGAAAACAAAAAAAAGTAATACACAGGAAAAAAAGATTCTAACTATACAGGAAAACAGTAACAATAAAGGCACCCTGAACAATCTTAAAAAAAAAAAAAAAGTTTAGATTTTTTTTCTTTCCTCAAACTATCACAGTAACAAGGAAAGCAGCTATTGATATATGTTTTCAAGGAACAATACAAAACTTGCCCAATAATCCAATCTTATGCCAGAAAATACAGTCATATATTTAAAGCTGACTACAAGTCAAGATCCAGACTAAGTACAGGCATGTGTCACTTAATGGTGGGTATACATTTTGAGAAGTGAATCAAGTGATTTAGTTACATACACTGAGATGGTACAGTCTACTAAACACCTAGGCTACATGGTACAGCCAAGTGCTCCTAGGCTTCACACCTGTATAACATGTTATTATACTGCATACTATAGGTGACTATAAAACAACGGTACATATTTGTGTTCTCTAAACATATCCAGGCTGGGTGCCATGGCTGATGCCTGCAATCCCAACACGTTGGGAAGCTGAGGTGGAAGGATTGCTTAAGCCCAGGTGTTCAAGACCAGCTTGAGCAACATAGCAAGACCCCTAACATCTCTACAAAGACTAAAATATTAGCAGGTGTGGTGGTACATGCCTGTAGTCCCAGCTACTTGGGAGGCTGAGGCGGGAGGATCACTTGAGCCTGGGAGTTTGGGGCTGCAGTGAGCTATGATTTGGCCACCAAACTCCAGTCTGTTGGGCAACAGAGCAAGACCCTGTCTAAAAAACAAATAAATAAACATATCTAAACACAGAAAAGGTAAAGTAAAAATATGATATTATAATCTTATATGACCATCGTTGCATACATGGTCTGTCACTGACCCAAATGTTATGTATGTACTCTACAGCTGTGTTTTAAAAAAAGAAGAAAACATAAAGCCATAAAAAAGTAATCATTCCACTATCTTCTTTCTTTTTTTAACTGAAAAACTCTTGCTATCTGAACTCTGAGAAAAACACACTTAGTGACATAACACATCAGTAGTAGAATAAACACTCCTAGGTGTAAACAATTAACTTTGGAACACATGCTTCAGTTTTCATTTTCTTAAATAAGAAGGATGAATTCAAACACCAGATATAAACAATAAGATTGTAACCTTTAATAAATTAAGGCTAAAAGATACTTACAATTTTTGCATTTTTCCCACTTTTCCTTAGTTGTTGAACAGCAAACGCATGTTCAACATTATCCATTGAAACGCCATTAACCATTGCAACTCGGTCATTTTCCCTAGAGGGCAAAAGTCACCAAAATTACATTAGAGATAAACATACAGGTAAGTCTATGAAGATGTTTTCAAGATGGGTACTTCTAAAAACAAATTCTAATTGTGAGCTAATTAATCTAGTTCTCTTCATAGCAATGATAAAAATGTCAAACAACTTTTAGATCTCTCACAAGAATGTATAGTAAGCAATCAGCCATAAGTTCTTAATTTTTTTTTTAGCAATTAACACAGTATTTCCCCAAAGGACTGAATAGGTACCATGATACACAAAATGGCTCTGGTGGTACAGTTACAGTGCATTAAATGACATCAAGTCACATAGCTGTATATCTTTTCTCTTTATCTTGCTAACCCGTTACCAAACAAAAGGGCAAGACTTGGGGGTGAGAGGCTTCCGCAGGTTAGATCCTACCTAAAACTGGGCTGCAAATCCTCTTTTTTACTATTTTAATTTTTACAGTTATCTTCTATTTTAAGTAAGTGATACTAGCTTTCCATTTGTGATAGACATAAAGCTTCCTTCTTAAGTGTATGTTTAATTTAAGGAAAAACATAAAGTAAACCATGGCAAAGGTACTGTGAGACTACAGCAAAATCACTAAGCCAGTATATGCCCATGACTAAGGACAGGAACAGGGCTTGTCACACAGGCACACAAGATGAACCCCAGCACACTTACTGTAGCTGTCCTTCAGCTGGTCCTCCTTTTAGCACATCTGAAATCACTATGGAGGTTTCCCCGCTCTGAAAATGAGGATTATCTCTTCCACCAGATATTGCAATTCCAAATCCAAATCCAGGAGCCTAAAGTAATAATTACAGTAAAATGTTGCTATTAAAAATAAAATTAATTGTTCATTAATATACTCTACAATCTAGAAAAGGTAAAATATAAAAATTATAATCTTCATATAGCTGTGATCCACACACTTCACTTGCTTGTATGGTTACATATTAGAATTATCTCTCCTTGTACATAAATGCATGCTCTAATAAATTAAATATTGGACACAGCAGAATATATAAAATTGCCAAGCACATAAATGTTCTCTAAAAACTAGGCCAGGTGTGGTGGCTCAAGCCTGTAATCCCAGCACTTTGGGAGGCCTAAGTGAGAGGATTGCCTGAGCCCAAGGATTTGAGACTAGCCCAGGCAACTTGGTGAGACCTCATCTCTAAAATACATCAAAAAATTAGCTGGGCACATAAGTGCATGCCTGTAGTTCTGGCTACTTGGGAGGCTGAGGCAGAAGAATCACCTGAACCTAGCAGGTCCACACTGGGGAGGCTGTGAGCATGCCGCTGTACTCCAGCTTGGGCAATGAAGTGAGACTCTGACTCAAAAAACAAACCTAGAACATATTAAAAATTTTCTGAACACCAAAATTCTGAATTTATTATTGATTATCAGAACCTAATGTGATCATCTTAAACACTGACAACAGATTTAGAAAATGACAGACTTGGCTGGGCTTGATGGCTCATGCCTATAAATCCCAGTGCTTTTGGAGACTGATTCAGGAGGATGGCTTGGGTTCAGGAGTTTAAGACCAGCCTTGACAACACAGTGAGATCCCATCTTCATTAAAAAAAAAAAAAAAAAAAAGCTGAGTGTGGTGAAGCATGCCTGTGGTCCTAGCTACTCAGGAGGCTGAGGCGAGCATCTCTTGAGCCCAGGAGTTCAAAGTTGCAGTGAGCCAAGACTGTGCCACTGCACTCAAGCCTGGGTGACACAGCAAGACTCTGTCTCTTAAAAAAAAAAAGACTAAATTAGCAGTTTGCCATTTCACATAATAAAATATCAAAAGTTTTGAAAATCAAGTATCAGTTACTTTAATTTCCTTCACTTATTCTAAAAATATTTGTAGAAGTAATACACTATAATGTCTTACACACACTAAAACAGAAGCTGTACATTGATCATATCAGATGAACATTTAAAAATTACTTTCCTTTTAACTAAATTATAATAGGCTACATACTTAGAAAGAGCTAAGAATTTTTACAATGACTAAAGACAGGACAATACAGAAAAAACTATAAATACTTCCCAGTTATTAAAAAATTACCCAACCTCAAATAAATCCACAGCATTCCCTAGAAAGGAAATAAAGTACTCAGAGTAGTCTAAAGAATCATCATCCTTTTGTTAGGATTCCAGAATCACTAAACCACAAAAGTGTGTTTTTGTATAAAGTTGTACAATCCAAACTACCCAAAGATAAAGATAACAACTCCCTTCTTCAGCTTCCTAGTCCACACAACAGGGAAGATCTATGACCATTAACTGATGAATGGATAAACAAAATGTGGATATATCCATACAATGAAATATCATTTTGCAAAAAAAGGGAAAAAGTGTTGATACATGTAAAATGAATGAATCTTGAAAACATTATGCTAAAATGAAGATGCTAGTCACAAAGGTTCATATATTCTACTATCCCGTTTATTTAAAATATTCAGAAAAGGTAAATTAATACAGAGAGAAATTAGATTAGTGGCTATCTAGAGGGGAATAGTAGGATTGAAGAATGACGACTGATGAGTATGGGGTTTTTTTGTTTTTTGTTTTGAGTTGGAGTCTCACTCTGTCGCCCAGACTGGAGTGCAGTGGCCGCTCCCGGCCACCGCAGCGTCGACCTGCTGGGCTCCGGCGATCCTTCCGCCTCAGCCTTCCAAGTAGCCGGAATTACAGGCATGCGCTACCACGCCCGGCTGATTTTTTTTTGTTGATTTATTGTAGAGATGAGGTCTTGCTGCCCAGGCGGGTCTCGAACCCGCGGGCTCAGGCAATCCACTCACCTCAGCCTCCCAAAGGCGCGGGATTACAGGCTGAGCCACCGAGTCTGGCGAGTATGGGATTTTTTTTAAACAATTATGAAAATGTTTAAAAATGGACTCTGGTGATAGCCATACAACACTGTGAACACACTAAAACCAATGAACCAAATACGTTAATTGTATAACATGTGAATTATATGGCAATAAAGCTAAAACAAAAAAGTTAATATAAAAAAAGAAAATAGTAACAAACAGGTAAACTTCTGGGTAGCTGAAGACAATGGTAACTGTCTGAATGCCTCCCTATATAGCCTCCAAAAATAATACAAAAAGAATAAATAAACTATAGTAGTTTCCACCCTTTTCTGCAGTTTCTTATTCTTCGGTTTCAATTAAGGTCAACCAAAGTCTGAAATTTTTAAATGGAAAACTCCAGAAATAAACAATACATAAATTTTAAATTATGCGCCATTATGAGCAGCATGAGAAAATCTCTCGCCATCCTGCTCTGTCCCACCTGGGATGTGAATCATTTCTTGGTCTAGCACCTCCATGCTGCAGGGGCTTTCTGCCCATCAGTCACTTTGTAGCTATCTCAGTTCTCAGATCAACTATCTAGGTATGCGGTGCTTATGCTCAAGTAACCCGTATTTTATGTAATCATGACCCCAAAGCACAAGAGTAGTGATGCTGGCAATTTGGATATGCTAAAGAGAAGCGTAAAGTGCTTCTTTTAAGAAAAAGGTGAAGGAAGTTCTCAACTTCATAAGAAAAAAAAAACGTAGGCAGGGTGCGGTGTAATCCCAACACTCATGGGAAGCTGAGGCGAGAGGATTGCCTGAGCCCACAGGTTCAAGACCAGCCTGGGCAACTTGGTGAGACTTCATCTCTACAATAAATCAAAAAATTAGCCGGTGTGGTAGCATGCGCCTGTAGTTCCAGCTACTTGGAAGGCTGAGGCAGAAGGATCACCTGAACCCGGCAGGTCGAGACTGCGGTGGCTGTGAGCATACCACTGCATTCTAGTCTGGGCGACAGTGAGACTCCAACTCAAAAATAAAAAATAAACTACATACTGAAGTTGCTAAGCTCTATGGTGAGAAAAAAATCTATTTGTAAAATTGTGAAGGAAAATGAAATTTGCGCTAGTTTTGTTGTCGCACCTCAAACCACAAAAGTTCTAGCCACAGTGTATGCAAGTTAAGTGCTTATTTAAAATGAAAAAGGCATCAAATTTGTGAGTAGAAAACCTAACAGAAACATGTTCCAACTGACAGTAACTGGGTTTGGCAAAAGTGGGGGGGGGGCTACTGTATATAAATCATACCTTCATCACAATTCAAAGATACAGAAGATCCAAATTCCAAAATAAAAGCAGGTCTAACATTTCAAAAACAAGAACTCATTAGATAGAAATAAATATTAGAAAAACATTTGAAAGCATAGGAGACTACTTTATAGAACTAATTCGAATACATTTGAAAACCCAAATGAAAGGTAATAATTTCCTATATAAATAATCAAAATAGGCTCTATTAGAAAAAAAGTTTAAACAGTTCATTTCTGGAGAAGAATCAGATAAAGTTATGAGGGAATTATCCCACAAAAAAGCATCAGGCACAGATGATTTCACAGGGAAATTCTACCAAAACATCAATGTCCAGATAGCACCAATACATTGCTCCAGAACACTAAAAATGAAGCTTCTGAACTCCTTTTATAATGCAAGTTTAATATTGACATTGAAACCTGATAATGACTGTGTCCATGATACAGGACCACTCCCCAATACTGGAGCCCAACATCATTTATGTGTATCAGTACTAAAGGAAAAAATAAAATAAAAAAGCCAAGGACAATACTACATGACTATTCCATAAAGATTTATCCCAGGAATGCAAGATTAGTGTATTAGGAAACCTACTGGTATAATATAACCTATTAACAAATCTAAAGAAAAAATTCCATGATCTCCAAAATCCTGAAAAAGTTGTTGACAAAAATCTAACATTCACTGCTGAGGAGACAAAAAAGGTCAAGAAAATGCACTGTAACAAACTTTACTGTAACATGTTGTTTTAGTTAAAGTACACAAAGAAAATCCAGTTTCACTCACATATGTACAGTAGTTAAAAAGGAGAGGAGTTATTTTAGTATTATGGATATTCATATTCATGTCTGATTTTATACCAAAAACTTAAAAATGGCAGTTTCCTAAATGACAGTAACAACGTGCAATTTGAAATCATATCAATAAGCTGTACTGCTGCATGAATATTTATTGTCCTACTTTGCACTCTGAATGAATATTTTATCCATGCGTGATTTTATAACAGCATGCCTTGGTCTTTTGGAATTTCTGGTTCCCTGAATTAAACAAATCTTTTAAATGATGACACATTGGACAATATAATATTTTAAAAAATCATGTGTTAATAACACCATCAAGCTTATCAGAAAAGTCTTTTTAAAAAATAATAAATAGAGATAGGGTTTTGCTATGTTGTCCCTTCCTTGGCCTCCTAAAGTGTTGGAATTACATGTGTGAGCCACCACACCTAGTCAGAGAAGTCTTTAAGTACTAAAAAGTTGCTGAGGTTATGATGGCAGATCAAAGTTTCCCACATTTTGATTTTTGTTTTAAAATTCAATTTTCATTGTAAGCACCAAATACTATCAAGAGTTGTTTTCCTTGAAGCAACAGATAAATATATATATATATATATATATATTTTTTTTTTTTTTTTGAGTTGGAGTCTCATTCTGTCGCCCAGACTGGAGTGCAGTGGCCGCTCCCAGTCACCGCAGCCTCGACCACTGGGCTCCGGCGATCCTTCCGCCTCAGCCTTCCAAGTAGCTGGAACTACAGGCACGCGCTACCACACCCGGGTAATTTTTTGATCTATTGTAGAGATGAGGTCTCACCAAGTTGCCCAGGCGGGTCTCAGGCAATCCACTCACCTCAGCCTCCCAAGGCGCAGGATTACAGGCTGAGCCACTGAGCCCGACGAAGCAACAGA